TGTCCGAAGTACAAGGTGTGTCGATGTACTGCTGAATCCCCGGCCTTGGTGCTGAAGGGCTCCCGGAGGTAGTGGATCCAAAACAAGTGTTGCTTGGATTTCATGCAGACAACATGTGAAAACAGGGTTTCCTTATTGCCTGTGTATGCCTGCATCACATTGGCCAGGAAGGTCCACTCCATGATCGGTGGTTCCTTGACTTTGGCTTCATGGTACAACCGNNGCCGTGATCTTCAAAGGCTCAGACCACCTAACCAGCTTCACTGACATGGCACCTCCAATGGCATCCCTCTCGATGTGATGCTCAGTTTCAAGGCTCTGATCACTCATGTGCAGCCTGGGGTCTGAAGCATGCCGAGGGGGTGCAGGAGGTGGGGGTGGTGGCATGAGTGACTCCGTGGAAGCGAGTGCCTGTGTTCTCGGATACGCCCTGCTGCGAGGTGATGCTCCTGAAGCTGATGATGCACGGGACCCTGACTTTACCGCGGGGTAGTGGTCCGAGGCCATGCTGTGACTGCCTGTCTCGTCAGGCTCTACATTGCTACATCATCCTGCGCAAGCAAAGCTTCCAATGCACCGCCCATATGCATCCTGTCCACTGGTGCGACCTGAGCTTGTCTGGCTTGTCTCCCGATGGAGCCTGGTGCCTTAGTCGCTGTCGGTGGCTGACGGCGAGGTTGCTTCTTCCGCTGTGGGCCCATGTGTGGGGTTCGGCCGGTAACCTTAGTCTCGGTGTCCGGGGGTTCTTGAATTTCTGCATCTGATGAGCTGGAGATCTAGGTCGTGGGTGACCGATTCAAGGATTCCAAATACCCTTGAATGTCTCGGCCCTCTTGGTTTTCCTGAGTGTCGGAGGGGATGTCGACACCTGAGAAGTCATCCACCTGCATCGATTGTCCCTGAGAAGGAGAATCATGAACGGCAGTGGCAGTCACATCAACACCGCTCACTTCCGAATCTGAGGCCATGTTGCGAGGGAATTCAGAAATTCCGATGGTCCCTGTGCTAGCAGCAAATACAGCTTCTGCCAAACGAAGAGTGTCACTCAAGCCTGAACAATCGTTCGACAATGCTATCAAGTTTGTGTTTGCACACACCTATGGCGGCACCTGCAGAGACGCTGCTTCTGTACAGTTCCACAAACCCTTAGCGACGATCAGGGCTCTCACACACACACACACTCACACGCACTCACACACACACACACAATCCCACGTGGCCGCAACGACTTCGCTTCCAAAGTTCTTGTAAAATCAAACATGCCGCGATCATGTGCATTTGGGAGCCGAACCTCGGAAGTTGCACGCAGACTTCTCAGACCTCTGGGTGAGTCTCGGCTGGGCTTCATCGCCACCTGCACCAGGTCGCAACCCCCAACTCACATTATCCAGGATCACTTGCTCCACAACATGAAGCTGTGCAGCTTCGCCACAAAGTCATCAGGCAGAACTTGCCGTCGCAGCAGGCACTGGCTGATGATGAAGAGTGCAATCCAGACCTTCGGCGAAGACTGAAGGCATTGCCCTAATTTCTGCGGCCTGATGAACTTTTTCGTGACATACACCCGAAACATGTAAGTAAGGCACTGTCATGTAAGCTTCATCTCACTTGCAGATCAACAATCGGGATCAAATGTTACCAAGCAGACACGCAGCCGCTGAAGCAGTGGACGACCTGCTGCCAGACATGGCCATTGTTTCAAGACGCACGCCGTCTTGGAAAATTGTCTTGGGCCCATCTTCAGTTGTGCGGATGCGCAAGCATTGATCAAACACGAGACTGCACCCGCCTGCTCTGTGGACGGTTTTGTGATTTGCGTTTGCAACCGGCCAGGGTTCATGGCACCGCTGATTTAATCCATGGGCTGTCTTCTGGCTTATTGTCGTCCCGCTCCCTGAGCACAAGTGCTTATCTACGGCATCGTTGCTTCAGATGCTTCAGCTCCCGGATACTTAAACAAGTCAAGCAGGTGTCGGAACATTCTGTCAGTTCGGTGGGGATCAAACCACAACTGTCGGAAACTCACCAAGACGCCCGGGCTCCAACCAGCAGGGCCTTGCCACCGTGCCGCCTCCGGCTTCCCACACTCCAACCTCAACCCACGTGTCAGAGAAGGGCCGCAGCCTCATGTACGATTTGCCGACCCTGAACTCGGCAGCCGACCGAGCACGGCTCAGTTTTCCGCTCACCGCAGCCAGCTTATGCAGCAGGGAGCACATAAAAGCACTTGTTTGTGCTCTCGGGCTCTACGGCATCACCGATGCCTAAGTTTCACATGCAAAAAGCCGCGCCAGTTTGGAGTCAGCTCTGCTTGTTCACCGGTCGCTTGTCCACCGCAGTGTCCTTCAGATCAGACAAGGCGGCAACTGGCACAACGTGGCCGCCGCTGCCAATGTGCAGAGTCTCACTTGTAAGCGGCTTTTCTGCCCAGGTCCGGTCCGACTAAAGGCTCACGTCCAAGAACTACCAGCGAACTGCAGAACAAGCATCCTTCGACTCACATACCGACGTACATACATACATACATACATACATACATGCATGCATGCATACATACATACATACAGACATACATACATATACATACATACATATACATATACATACATACATTTACATGCATACATACATACATACATACAAACATACAAACATAGAAACACAAACATACAAACCTACAACCATGCAAACATGCAAACATACAGACGGACGGACGGACGGGCAGACAGACATACAAACAAACATACATGCATGCATGCATGCATGCATGCATACAGCATACATGCAACATGAATACAATCATACATGCATGCATGCATCCATACATACGTACATACATGCATACATACATACCTATATACATACGTACATTTTTAGCACTCGCACTCGACGCATCAGGCGAGGTGTAGGGGAACCAAGCTTACAGCAAACAGCAACCAAGGTCACTCCGACCTCAGCCACAATGGTCCTTGCGACCACAGCAGCATACGTACATACATACGTACACAGATTACATACATAGAGTATATACATGTGCTTATGATGTATCCAGATGTGTATACATGCCTGCGCACCGTGTACACAGATGATTGCGCAGGTGCATGAGCTCCTCTTGCATGCGCTACATCTGCATTGCCTGGTGACGTGTTGTATATGCACGTAGAGTTCCAGCATCTGACACGGATGCGAATTTGGTTTTCCGTACTTCTGAATACATCATAGAGCAGACAAGCTTGACATATTCACTTGCGTCATTACAGAGTGTTGCCCAAGCCGACGTCAAACCCTGCAGTTGTTACTTGGTATGTTGCAAGTAAGCGAAAACACCGTTTTGCGACACATCTGGTTTGTCTGGCTCCGGAAGCGCTTGCGATTGCCGTGCTGTTCTGTTCAGCCCTGCAAGAAGAATTTTCCAATCCTCCCTCCCTCGCTCCACTCCGACCTGCCAAATTCGAACAGGACTAACCTCAATGCGGGAGATATGAAGTAACTTCGCCCAGAAAACACAACCGACAAGTAAAACCGGAGAGCATGACGTGAATTAAGGCTGGCCTCGAAGAAGGACTTGCCTGCGGCCTTGTTTACCCACCTTGGCTAGCTTGCTCGATGTTTGCGGAACCATAGCTAGAATTCAGCTACTTGCAGCAGTACAGTGCTTGCTGTCATTGCTTGCCGCTAGAAGTCGAAGCCTTACACTATCCTTGGTAAAGACTCTGTTTGGCTTGCTGCCCCTGGCGTTGACCATGCCACGGTCGAGTTGAGTCAGAGTGAGCCAAACGCGTCTCAGGTTCTCGAAAGTCTGGCTTAGAACATTCAATCGCGACAGCAACACCAAAAACAACCTGCGAAAACGTCTGGGTTCCCGGCTCTTTTCGATTGCCTCCCACTATGTGCCCTCGGGGTCGGATGAAAGGCAGCTGGAGAGTCGGAATCACCGACTCACGGTCTTGCCGATTGACGGCTTGCCGTGTTGCTGCATCTGCCGAAAAACCCAGCAAGAGAGGTAAAAAGAGTTATTGTTGTTGTTTCTGGGTTCATGACCGTGCACGCTCTATTGCCGAGCAAGCGGTTCTCAGCTCGCTGCAACTCCAATCACCCGAATGACCTTCCTGTGGCCAGAAGGCATCGTATGAAATATCGTTCCTTGGAAGCAGCTGCTTGCCCAATTCTGGTAGGGGACTGCGGCGACTTGAAGGTTGTCTATTTGGCATTTCTTACGTACTCCTCTGCACGGCATCAACATGACCTCACGGCTTCACTCGCCGCAGCTTGGCATTCTCGTGTCGAGATGGCTGGGCCCCTCACCAGAAGTACCAATCCTGGTGGTTCTCGTCGAACCCTAGGCACGATATGCATGTGGGAGAAGACAGAGATGTTACGACCGTTTTTTGTTTTGTCGCCTTTGAGGCCTTCGGCCTCGATCGGTGAATCTCACACGCCCGTGCAAACACATGCCCTCCATCGCACCCACCCAAACTGCAAAAGCGAACAACTTTGCTAATGATGCTGCGCATGCCGGCCAAAAAGCCGGAATCATCGCTATCATTGGTGTGGCATTTGGTTTGAAGTACCACCGAAACCATTCAAGTCAGGGCATTGAAGAGTTTCGTTTTCTGGGCCACGAGTGCCTATGCTGGTGCGGATGCTGGGTCCCGAAAAAACTCACGCCCACCTCTGCAAACAAATCGACAAGCCTTCCACGCAGCATTTGCGTGCATGCATTTTAGAGTGTCGCTGCAATCATGTGTCCATGGGTTTGCTTGCTGTTGCTGACAATACTTTGCAAGGCCACCCCCTATGCTGCACACAGCAAAAAAAGAACGCGACGCACAAAAGGCCGAGCAATCTATCAAATGAAGCTGGCATAAACAAGGCGTCGTCCGCATGCATTCCCCATCGTCGTCATCCGAACGATTGGGCGTCATTACCCAGGCAGTAGCACTTCGCTCGTTTTTCGGTCCCAGGGAGCCTCCGAAGGTACATGTCTGGGTTTTCTCGCTGCTGACAATGCAAGCCACGTTCCTCCTGGCAGGAGGTGCTTAGGTGGAGTACCGAATCTTATGCCTCTGCGTTGCAAGGTCCGCCTGGGTCGTGTAACTGTGGTGTTCGCGCCATCCCGATGTGTATGTGTATATATATATATGTATGTATGTATGTATGTATGTATGTATGTATATATATATATATACACACACCGATATATGCATAAATCTGTGTATGTGTGTATAAACATATGTAAACACATATGTATGTGTGTATGTATGTATGTATGTATGTATGTATGTATACATATATATATATATATGTATTTGTATTTATTTGTTACTTTAGTTGTTCATATTTATGTATCTCCAGGCAGTCTCACGCCTCTTTTACATTCGGGTCGCGATGTAGTCGTGACACGTACGAAACCGAAGTCGCACACGAACCTTTTACCGTTCAGATAAAGTGCACTTCTGCCACGCAGAGGCTTCGCCACCGGCCGCAGAGCCGGACACCTGCAAGGTGTACATTCCGACTTGCATAGCCTTGCACCACTCTGCAGGTCATGCTTGCGCTGTTGACTGCATCGTGTCATAGCGACTGAACGGCTGCATGGTCAGCAGAAAGGAAGATAGAGTACCCACCTCAGCCAATGCCTGCAGCGACACAGAGACTGCATTCCAAACCTACGGTTGCAAGGACTACCCACCGCAGTACTGCTGCAGTCACAACTGCAATGGATCCTCATTTGACAAGCACCTGAGACTGGCAGCCCACTAACGAGAATGAAACATCACGAAACCCCAGGCTCGACTACTCCCTGTGGATCGCTCAAAGAATAGCTGTGGCAGCCGGGCTGGATTCTTGGGAGCGGTGGAGTTGGAACATGATGGGAAGGGCCTGCTCTATCTCCTCATGCAAAGCAGTGATGTCTTCTTGCCTCAGCTATCCAGCATCCAGAGCTGAAAAAGAACTTGTACTATACACAGTGTTGTTTTAGCAGGGTGGCACCTGCGAGCCCCGCGGCACCCCCCAACGAGAGAGTTCAAAGAGTACTGCCTTGTCAGCTGTTCAACAAACCTGGGTTAAGCATCGATTCGAGCAGAGGAGCACCCTAGTGACCACATGTAAACCAAGTCTCCATGCAAGAGGATTAGCAAGCAGCGCCTCTGCGAAAGCCTCAGTTCCTGACTCAGCCGCCTGGTCAGCAACCACCCAAACCTCTTTCAACGGACTTCGCGGAAAGCCTGCACAAGAAGTGCTGGATGCACACCGACATGGACGTCGTGCCAGGCAGTGCCTGGAGGCCACGGCAAGGTTGTCGCGGCAAACCGCTGGCGCCACTCGGACATCTTGTCCTAAAGATGAAACCAGAAACGCGAACTACTGATGTCCTGATTGCTTCCCTGCGAAATGGACGGGGGGTCATGCATGGCCAATTATCTCTGAACGTTTCCCCCAACTCAACGAGATGGCGATGCAAAGACCCAGCATGACCCCGCAAGCCTCTCGCATAATCCCGACCAAACGCGCCAACATGTGTTCTGCATCCTGGCAGTTCCCACCGACGGCATGCAAAGCGGTCCTCCCACTTGGAGCCGTCCTCGTCTCCCGTTTGGGCCTGACTTTACGTTTCTGTGTAGGAAGGTACAAGTCGTACAAGTGGCTCCAACGCTTTTCACTGCGGTTTGTGCTTGGTGCCGGAACTATTGTTAGGCTATTCGCAACAGCTGCCATAGTATGCCACCCCTCGAGCCGCGGGTGTCTCAAACAGATACAGGGTTAGTGTGTTGTGCTTCCGTCCGAGAAAGAAGTAAGCGATGAAAACATACCAGAATGAAGAAAATATCAAAGATGCTTTATATTCAACACATGCAGGAGGAAAGCAGCACGAGCTGTTCGTATGCCGGTAGAAACCGCGAACCACCTTAAGCCTGCAACCAATCCAATCACTGCGACCAAAACTGCTTCATTTGAGTTTTGGCCACGCATTCAAGCCAATCGTTTGGGCTTGTCTTCGAGCTTACTTTGTGGCTGCCTAATGCTTGGTCCGCGAGGCCATGAAAAATATCTCAACAGTTCAGATCGAAGAGCAATTGTACATTCCCCAAGCACCTGTGTTCAACTGTTCGTTCACGCAAGTCGCTCAAACTTCGAAACTGCCTGCATGAGACTAGACTACTGGGATTGTGCAGTGGGACAAGGACAGATAGAATCTGCATGCACATTGTTTCGTAAAGTGATTCAGGGCAGTCTGTCGGTTAAGAGTCACTCTACAAGCAGGTTCCATCCGTCAGCACGTCCGAAGCTCTACAACTACCAATGCATCCGCCAAAGTCTTTCAGCACAGCGGCGACTGGCAGCTTTCTCAACCTTTTTGCCAGCACTGCCTGCGCACATGGGCATCATCATGCAAAGAGAGGACTTGCAAACCTGTTTCAATATTTCAGCATAAACGAAGTAAACGATGCAACAACAACACCAGCACCTCAACCTTGTCCTGGATGTCTTGCAGAGCTTGCTGCGCATTGGTCTTCTTTGCCCAGATTTTCACCGGGAACCTAAGTGCCCACGGAAGACTCAGGACTCAGGAAACTGCCGAAGAATCGAGCTTCTGTTTTGAACAAGCCGGAATGGGACATGAGACGGCAGAGTGTTGCAAACAAGGTTGGTCGCCGTCCCACGGCCGTTCTTGCTGTAGAAATGCACACCAGAACTTAAAAGGATTCACAGGGCTTGCTGATACTACCACGCAGCCATGACCGGAAAACCCCATTCCTTTGGACAAACACCCGAGATGGAAAGCAACCGACCGAGTGCTGGGCCAATAGGCATTGTCATCGAACTCTTGCGGGCCGCAGTACTCGTTCAAGTCCCATTCCAACTGCTCCCTGCTTCGAGGGGAGCTGAAATCCGAGACTCTTTGCAATCTTTTGAGCGCAATCCTGCAACCCACGCTCCCAACCAGCAGATCGCAGCGACTTTGCAGTCGGCTGTGCCTCGCGTGGCTGAGCCATGTCTTGAACTCTTCGAAGTACTCTCGAACGGCAGGGATGTAGGCAGTTTCAGTTGGCCTCAGCATAGCAGGAAGCAGTGGCAAAGCGGCAAAGAGCTCTGGCTCTGACCACTTGTCGTTTTACTCCGCGGATTCTGGGAGTGCGGCTCTCGGACATCGAGTTCGTCTCGAAGGCCCAAGTCCTACACCGGCACAGGCATTCTCACTTGATGCAAATTGCCCCCACTTTCACAAGGCTTGTCGCACATAAGTCTGGGGGATGTGACTCACGAAAAACATTTCCTGCACAGCTTTGTCCACTCGGAGACCTGCTATGCTGCTTTTGCTCTGATGCCCTGCGGCTCCTTGCTCAACTTGTTGTAGACTTAGCAAGCAAAGCAGCAAATTTGGTTTGGCCATGACCATGCGGACAGTCACTGATCATTCAGACTGATTCTGCGCAAGGCCCGGCACCATAGTTCTGGAAGAACGCTGAAAAGCCATCTTCCTTATGCATGCGGGGGCGAGAAAGTGGTGCTGCCTGCCCTGCGACAAACCGGAGATCTGTTGGAAGATCTTCCACAACCACGGGGAATCCGGCGATCTACACGTCTTCCTGTTATGCTGTAGAATGACCTTTCGATATGGAGAACCATACCAGCAAGACATCCCATGCTGCAGATCTCCTCGCAGTCTGCCTCTCCAGGTCCAAGCTGCAACCAGCCCTGAAGCTGAGGGTCACGCGCCAAAGTCGCCCTTCCCGAATCTCTCGGGGAAGCTTTCACTTTGCCTCATCGGACAATGACAGAGCGCTCATAGCTTGGAAAGGCCACTGTGGCCACTTAGCCCTGGGCCGCTTCCACTTCCTGCTGCTGTGCACTTGGGGATCCTGAGACCAACGGATAAGAAGCATCCCTGCGCACATCCCTGTACATCCATGTCACCCGGGAAAATTGGGAGTATACTGAAGGCCACACGATTACTCTTCGTTCTGCAGAGAGGTATACTTCCGGGCATGCATGCCTTTCTGCAGAAGCAACTGCTGCCTGTTTTTCGGTGGAATTACACACTGAACCAGCTCAAACGAATCTCCGCAGATCTGAGTGGAACCAGCAACGCATGGATGTCACTTTGAAAGCTGGGGATCCCGGCCGTCAGCCTGAAAACCAATTCGGAATTCCTTTCCTCGCAAACGCCTTGCAGGTCGACAACCTGGGAGTACTCTGGCTTAAATATGCTTCCAACGGAGGTCAATCGCGCTTTGGTGACCTTCTATGTCCTTCTATTATTCACACCACACTAGAGGACAGGCTGCCAACATCCAACGCCCATTGCGTAAGCAATCAACTGAGTCTTTTGATAGGCATCCAAGCCCTCTGGCTTGCAGAACACCGAGAACTGAATCTGTTTCTTCGTCTTCTGCCACACGCCCGACAGCCTGTGCCATACCTTCATCCCCCCTAGGGCCCAGACCATCAGCCTATGGCCACTCCTACGGTGCAAACACAGGCGGCCAGCTGCGAGCTAGAGACATGCAAGCTTGTTAAAGCATTGCTGATGGCACTACATGTCAAATGGTGCCCGCATTTTGGCTACTCGGCGTGTCCAGTTGATCAAAATTTCTTCATAGTACTTTAACAGACGGCCTCTCGAATGTGAAGTGCGAGAATGCCTGACACAGGCAGGCTTACTCCAAGTCAGAGTGTCAAGTATTTTTGTGCACGGCAAGCTGACTAGCTGATTCACGCATTCTAACACCGCTGCCTTCGGTCAACCCCTGTACCTCCTGCTGTTGCTGCTGCAGCAGCAGGAGCAGGAGCAAGAAGTGGCAGAAGTAGTAGTCGTCGTCGTCGTCGTCGGCTTCATCCGCGTCGTCTGCATCGTTCTGGTCGTAACCCGTCGTTCTCACCGTCGAAGTGGTGATTTTTCCGATGGAAGAAGCCATTGCAAATAGAAGTAGCAGCAGCAGCCGCAGCAGTAAGTATAGTAGTACGATGTAGCATGAGTAGCAGTAGCAGCAGTCAGTCGGAGTCAGCAGCAGTCAGTAGCCGTCACAAGCAATTAATAGCAGCGCAGTAAGTAGCAGTCGCAATATCTGCGGCAGTAGCACCGTGGCACTCAGTAGCAGTCAGTAGCAGTGGCCGTGGGCGTAGCAGTAGCAGAAGCAGTAACCGGAGCAGCAGCAACCGCAGTAGCCGGGCAGGACAAGCAGGAGCAGCAGGAGCAGGAGCCGGAACCGGAGCAGGAGCGGGAGCGGGAGCTGGAGCAGGAGCATTAACAACAGTGGTCACCGTGTAGTGGCGGTGGTAGCAACAACAGCAGGCGAGAGCAGCAGCTAGAAAGCAGCGACGGTAGTAATGGTGCTCGATGACTCGTTTTATTGTCCTATACCGATCGAGAAGCACCTTGGCGTAGATGATGATATGAACCATCATACTTGAAAGAACCTGGCGTGGGATACTATTTCGTGCGATGTTGCACATAGCATGGCATAGTATTGAGTATAAGACAACGTAGAAACAGATTGCAATCATCATCGCAAGACCACCATCATCACTCGGCAGATGGTACTAACAACCCAACAACAACAACAACAACAATAGCGACTGATACAAACAACTGCAATCATGACTGAATCGCACCGATCACCAGAACGCAACATTACTCTGCTTGCAAGCACGCGAATGCTTTCCTGACAGCCCGAGATTCTGTAAGCCTGTGGCAGCTTGGGGTAAGGGATGTGCGGCTGTGCTGATACCCTCCCGCCTGTGCCACAGCGCTGTGTTTGCTCAGGTCCTCGCTGACATATCCTGAGAAGCATTTCGAATGCTGAACAACTGGCGTGAGTGCAATCTGTGATGCGCAACCGTGGTCCTCAGCCGGCTTGCATAACCGGTCCTGAGAATGCCGAGCCAAGGACCGTCGTTGTTGTTGAACTTCACCCAAGTACCTGCCAAAAAACGCACCGTGATTGGGCATGGGGGTCGGTCAAGACCCCCGAACTTAGAGCAAATGTTTTGCATTTTAAGGGGTGTGAAGAGCGTTAAATCACTTTGAGGCTAAGGCCATAAAGTGTACGATAACAAACTAAGTGACTGTATGCTCTCCACGACACATGCAGGGACTACATTGTGTTCCCCGAGGATAATAACAACGACGTGCAATGCTACTTTTTGGGGAATTCACAATGTGTCCTTGTGCTGGAACTCTCTTCCAAATTACTGAATGCCTGGATATCTTTTTGTCGAAAAATACAAGGGCTAAGAAATGGCTACTCTCTTCTTCTTCCTTCAGGTCAAGGGAGCGTGAGAGGCTCCCCGGCCCATAGGGCCCCCACATTTCCGGGGCTTTCGGGGAGATGCAACTCTCTCTCTCTCTCTCTCTCCCTCTGACGGAGGGATACTTGGGGGCAAGGGAGGGGAGAGGATAGAGGCGAGAGGAGGCGAGGCGAGGGCATGCATGCTTGCATGCGCACACACACACACAGACACATACGTACACACATATGCACCTACATACATATGCACGTGCGTACGGGACTCTACCTGCCACGCGAAAGGCTTGCGACCCAGGTTCGCAAAACCCTAGGCTAACGGATGGTAATCGCGACTTTTCGTGTTGGCTTCCGGGCCCACATGACAAGCGCACAGAGTGTCTGGAACCTGTTTCTAGCAGTTGCAAACGTGCTGTGTAGCGGTAAGATCTCAAGAAACCACGAGTCGGCCTGAGAGGTACTTCTCACCACAGAAGTGGAAAGGCCTGAGCAATTGAAGTCGCAAGTTTGGTCACGTACCCCATCTGCATTGGACATACTTTGCTTCTCTGCCAAAGGAGCATGTGATTTGCAGGGGATGTCCATCATGCAAAACCACATCCACTTAGGCACAAGTGACTGGTATGCCCCTGCCAGACCCTCGAATCGGCTCACATTGCAGTACGTGCAGCCAGGGTTCTCGTCAACTTGGGGGTTCGCAAGGTGCTTGCTGTACACCCCAACCTCGGCTTGACCGACTCCGCATGTCTCGTTCAGTATAACACAGCAGAGTCTGCAGCAATCATCGCCTTATTCTCCAAACTGCGCTTACTTACTGCACATTGCAGACTCGAGAGACGGAGATGGCCTGATCCGGAGATCTGGCAACATGCAGGTTCCAGAAGCAGTCCAAAAAGTCTCTTAGAGATCGGCACTGCTATTGAATTCTTCCTTTGGAGGGATGTTCTCCAAATCTCTCTTGACTCGGACTGACTTGAGAGCATTCTTGCCTGCGGCAAGCTGAGCCACTGTCTTGCTGCCGGCATGATGCAACACCCTCAGAAGGCACTCAGCAGACTCCCTCGTGTAGCATTCGTGACCCTTGGCGTAACGCTCAGTGCTGGATGCGGCGATCCTGCTCTCCGGCTCATACACCGTCCTGTGGACGTGCACGTATTGTTCCAGGTGCAGGGCGTGTGCTCCGGAAGCACAGACGTAGAGCACCGGAAGGTACTCCAAGGACCCATCAGGGAAGGTCGCCTTGTAGCGCGTCAGACGTTGCACTGCATTTGGCTGTTCAGGTCCCTCAGTGCATTCCAAGGAAGTTTTGCCCACCTTGCAGAAAGTAGAGAAGATCAGGAGATGCACCATGCCGAACTCGACTTCTTGGGGCATCTGCAGCTCCATGCAACACGACGTGGCGGCGCGCACCATCTGGCGGCGCAAGCCCGGCATCCGGGAGCAGAACAAATCCCGGAGGCAGCTTTCTATAGCTTTGGACTGATGTATGGCCCGGGATTCATTATTCAAAGCAGACAGTCTCTGTGTCCGGGTCGTAGGATCTTCCACTCCCAGTGGCCACATGGGCAAGAGCGCGTTTGGAGGAAGTCCAGGCACATAGTCGTGCTGGTAGCTGGGCGGAGGCTGGAAGTAGAGGCCCACCTAGGAGGCAATACTGTCAAAACACTAGTTTCCGTTTGCACTGCAAGCAGACCCGAACGGCGACTTCGCAAAATGGCGTTTGCACTGCAAGCAGACCCGAACGACGACCTCGCCACATGGCGTTTGCTCTGCAAGCAGACCCGAACGACGACCT